CTCCCCCCCCAGCTCACCTCCGCTCCACTGCCACCTGCTCCCCCGAGCGTGCCGCCGCTCCGCTTCTACCCCCTCCCTCCCAGGCTTGCTGCGTGAATCAGCTGTTTTGCAGCAAGCCGGGGGGGAGGGGAGGAGAGAAGCGGAGCTGCGGCGGTGCGCTCAGGGGAGCAGGCGGAGAGGAGGTGAGCTGCAGCTGTGGGGGGTGTGGGGAGGGCCGCAGGAAGTAACCCTGGAGGGGGCAGAGGAACCGCTCCCCCGCCCCCAGCTCACCTCCGCCTCCTCCGCCGAGCACGCCGCCGCTCCGCTTCTCCCCTCTCCCTCCCAGGCAAGCCAAGTGCGTGCCTGGGGCGGCAAGCCGCGGGGGGCAGCCTGCCGGTCGCCGTGAGGGCGGCAGTCAGGCTGCCTTCAGCAGCATGCCTGCAGGAGGTCCGCTGGTCCCGCAGCAATTCAGCGGCGGGTATGCCGAATCTGCGTTACCAGCGGACCTCCCCCAGGCGCGCCGCCGAAAGCCACCTGACTGCCGTGCTTGGGGCAGCGGAAAACATAGAGCCGCCCCTGCGTCCGGGGGAGGAGGCGGGGCCGGGGATTTGGGGAAGGGGTTGGAATGGGGCGGAGAAGGGGCGGAGTTGGGGCGGGGACGGGGGGGCATGGGAAAATTTTTTTGCTTGGGGCAGCAAAAAACTTGGAGCCAGCCCTGGTTAGGCTGAACCAAGCAAAGTCTCCCTGACCTGCCAAGATGACATGATGAGCATATCAGCAGGCAGAGAAAGGCAGGTTGGGCAGTGAAATCTGTCTTCTGCAATTTAAATCTACAGTATTTCCCTTTTTCATTTATATATGCTCTTTACTTAGTTTGAAGACTCTTCTTGATTTTCTGAAGGCTTCATTACGTTTTAAGAGTATGGTAAGTTATGAAACTATAAGATGCAATATTATCATTTAGACACTTGGAGGAAATCCCTCATTATAACATCATGTTTATCTTCTGGTGATCTACATGGAAGTTTGTCATGTCACAGTGATAGTAGTGAAGAAGAGTAAGCATTATGTAAGTCAGCCTCAAGAAAATAAGCGACACTAAATGGGGCTGCTTATTACAAACAGAAAAATGAATTGTTTGCAGCCTTAAATTGTATACAGACTGCAGGGAATCAAACTGTGGTTAAACTTTTATGGTGACTGTGAATTATATTAATGTTACTGTATTTGCAGTGTAGCTTGTATTAAACAACACAGCTGATATTTTCCCATTCCAAATTTGTCAGAACATACCCCCTTGTTCTGAAGAGTTTGACAAGGATTTATTATTTTATTCCTTTAAAAGCTGGAATACATTTAGGCCTGATTTTTAGAGGTACTAAGCATCCACAACTCAAAATGATGTCCAGTACCCTCTAAAAATCAGGTCCTAGATGTCTACTTGGGAACCTAAAAAAGGAGGTATCCAGATTAGTGGTCATCTTTGAAAATGATGCTGTTAGTGACTGGCCTGTAGATAACAAATACTTAAATGAAAAATCACAATAGAATTTCATTTGTGATCAGCTCACAGAAACCTCCCAACACAAGCAATATGAAGTGCCTCTCTGCCCAAATTAGGAAAGCACATCACAGTATTTAAATGCAATATATTTAAATACAATAAAGTATTATTATTACCCTAAACAGTCTCTACTTGTCCAAACATATTAGTGTTGGTTATGTAATCACCTAATAGCATTGGTTAAGCAGCTGGTGTGCAGTGACTACTGTTACTTCTTGCTACCTGTCTGTTTATTGCATCTACTTGTCACATTTTAAACTTAGATTGTAAGCTCTTTGGGGCCTTCTTTTGTTCTGTGTCTGTACACTGCATTGCACAATGGGGCACTGACCCATGTTTGAGACCTTATGCATTATGTCAATACAGATCAATAAGAAGACATATCTAAATTATTAGTGCTTCACACATGCATAAATTTTCTCTGAATGTGTTGCAGTTCTGGTGAGCTATAGTGTATTACAGGAGTAAACTCATTGCATTGCAGAAGAAAACAACTTTGTGTGACTGATTTAATACTTCTTGCACTGTAGAAAGTGCACTTCTTATTTAAATGAATAATAAAACTTATGCTATTATATAACATAGTTGTTGCTATACATATATCAACAGTCGTACCTATAAGAGCTGTAGAATAACCTTTCTGCTTCAAAAGTTTCGCAAAAGTTATTTCTTCAGTGGGAAGTCCACCAGAAGAGGCAGAAAATAAGAAGACACCAATGTTTGACAATGCAGCCATTCCTTAATAAAACAAAAATGAGTGTGAACAGCATAATGAAGAGAAACGATTTTCATTCATCAATTCTATACTTTTTTTTAAAAAGTGGTGTCACTAGAATGACATTTTCCCACCAGCAGCTATAGCAGCAAATGGCAGGGAACTGTCTGTTTCCGCTGAATAAGGTCATTTTTCCACTTCTATGCAAAGCTGAGAAGTAGAGATGGAGAAAAATCTCAAATTACTGTGGGCCCTTCCAAACAGACAGGCAATTTTTGTAGTCATTACTATGACATATCTGTACTTCTGACAGCAGAATTTGGGATTGCACAATTTAATATTTCTTCTTTCCTTAAGAGTCAGGGACCATAGGTAGTGGTTAGACCAGGGGACCGGTAGTCAACACTCCAAGGTTCTATTTCCAGATCTGACTGTATGAATTTGGGCAACTCACTCAACATCTCTTTGCCTCATTTTACCTACCTGTAAAACTATTAATACCATCTACTTCACGTGATGTTGTGAGGCATGGTTAATTGACATTTCTGAAGTGCATTTTTGAATTCCTCAGAGCAAGGCACTAAGGGTGGGATACACAAAAGTAGTAAGTCCCAGTTTTGGCTCCACTACAATCCCCAAACTCTTGCCAAACTCTTTAGATGCCCAAACTTGCTCACCACCTAAGTTTTGCAGAGTAGAAGTTCCCCAAGTGTTTACCTTTCTGCCTCTGGCATGCACACTGCTGCCTCACTTTAGGTGTCCAGATGACTATCTCCTGCCTAAGCCCCAGAGCGATTCACAAACTGGGGAAAGACAGAAGGAGGAGGTGCTGCTCACCTTATAACTTTCAGCCCAGTGGTTAGCACACTCAGGTGGAATACAGGAGACTTAGGTTCAATTCCCACTACATCAGAGTATCCCATAGCTCAGTGCAGTGATTAATTTGTAATGAAAGAGGTGCCAGGGATCAAACAATTTTTTTACATTCATAACTGATGCAGCAAGCCCAGAGGTGCCAGGGCTGAGCCCTGGCACAAATTAAGCACTGGCTCCGTGGTTAGAGCACTTTTCTGCCACCGCTTCCCTGCCTCCATCTCCCCCGCAATCCCTGTTTTGTGTGGAACAAAGCAGGCACCTAACTCATTCCCTCACTAATGCCTTAGATGCCTAAACCATCTGATTCCAGGAGGCAGGTTCCAATTTGTGGATTGCTAAGCAGAGCAAGGTGCCTTTCTGCAGCCTACAGGTAGGCACCTATCTCTGAGCACACACCCATCTGGTCAGCATCTCCCATTGGCTAGTTTAGGTGGGTCCCCACCTAGTGTGCTGGCTTCTGTGGATCATGTTCTTAGGAGCTTATCTCTGCCCATTCATTGTATAGGGATCCTAGGCACATGGCTCAGCTTGGTGGATCACAGTCTTGTTCCTATGATATTATAGGCACCTAGACATTAGGTGCCGTTATGCTTAGTGTTGCAATGCTGTAATCCCTTCATGTGGATCCCACCAGATGTATGTAATTGTAGCAGCAAGAAATGGAAAAGACCTGTTGGACCAAATCATCTAAGTGTTCTCAATCTTACTTCCAACTTAGTCCTAGATTTCGCACCCACAATCAACATGCTCAAAGGATAGATAGTTGTGTTCTCTACAAAAACACTTTATTTATTTTATTTGAAGGCATATTTAGATATCTCAGGTCAGGTTCTCAATTGGTATAAATCAATGTCGCTCCATTAAGATTATTGGGGCTACACTGATTTACACCAGTTGGGGATTATTATTATTATTAATAACTTATTAATTATTATTATGCCATTACTTTTCTCCAGGTTTCTCCCTCCCATTAAATATCTGGGTTTTGGTTTACTTTCCTTCAGATGTTTTAGCCTGAATTATTGCAAGTTGAAGCTCACTTTATTTTCTGAACATGCTTCTGATATCTCAGGGTCCTTTGGTATCAATTCTCTGTCTCCACTAGTATTTGCAATTAGTCCCCATTGAACAGCTTTTATAAATTTGACAAAAAAGAATGTTTACTCTTTCATTGATCCATGAAGATATTAAAGAAGACCCAGGGCAGGACAATCAGTGAAACTTTCAGCTCAAAACAATGAATTTTTCAGAAAATCACAAATACATGAAAACAAGGGTCACAACGGAAAGCTGTTTGCAATTTTAAATATAGCAGGTGCTATTGGTAATCAACACATATCAGCTTCCTTTACAACAGAAACTATGAATGAACCCAGCAGGTTACAGTGGCTGCTGCAGCTGCAGCTTGTTACTTGATTGGAATGAACATACACTTATTAAGCAGGACCCTGAGACATGCTTTGCTTTTATTCTCAGAAGCAAGAACAGGAAATGGGTTATCACTAATGAACAAGTAATCTGATTAATATAACAGTCCTTGCTAAAAACCATGTTCGGAAATGTTAAGGTGCAATGGTGAAGCACCCAGAGTCCCAGCCACTGAAGTCAATGACAAGCAAGAACTGCCAAAGCTAAAGTTGCATGCGCTTGCATGATCTTAAAATGAAGGAGGAGAGGCGGACATGACATGGATATGCTTGGTGGTGAAGATTCTTCACTCTCTTTTCCCAAGCACACAACCTCACTGGGCTCTTGACTGAATATTTGATCCAGTGATCATAAAGACACATTCAGCCAGTACCGGGGCAGAAGGCAAAAAATGCAAAATAGTTCCTGTCAGAGGCAAAACCATTACGCATAAATGATAATGAAATATTAATGAATTTTACCTGATCTGACAGGGTATCGGCCTGTCAGAAAAGCTGCTCTGCTTGGGGTACACAGTGGAGATGCTGCTATATGTTGAGTAAATGTCACTCCTCCTTTAGCTAGCTTGTCAATATTGCGGGTTCTAGTGGGGGGAAATATATATATATATATAAATATATAATAATTTCATATTGATTATCTGGAAATGGCCAAATTAAAGCTCATGGGCTAAAATTTTCAAAAATGCCTCAGTGTCTTAGGAGTCTGATTTGCACTGACTTTCAAAGAGACAGGCTCCCAAGTCACTGAGCCATTTTTGAAAACGATGATCATGGTCAACATACGGGTCTAGTGCAACTTTTACAATACACTAAATGCACAACCAGACATTTGATTTTGGAGTATTGCAGCCCAGAGTAATCATCTGTTCACATTTAACAAATCTTATTAAAACATTGACAATATGGTATACCCAAATGTAATATATATGTTTTTAATAATATATAAGACACATATTATAAAAAACATATAACTATAATTATGAGTTGTATGAATTTAACATATTTCAGTTATTTTTCATATTATTAAAAAGCTCCAATTTTGTAATATTTCAATATAAATGTTCAGTGTTTATTGATATATATCTCATTCATTTCACAGGCACTCATTTCACAGGAAAGGGCCTTTATATTATATTTTACTCTACTCAATCACAGTTTTGATTCGCGCACTTGAAAAAAAAACACATTTAAATGTGGAGGCTTAACCTATATGCTTTTTCAACCAGTACAGCAGCACCTTACCTAATCTGGTGACAACAATCATGTTGGGAAGACATTTCTGAATTAGTCAGATATATTAACATTTGCTTTAATGGATTTAATTAGCATGCCATAGTTAAAGATGAACTGCAGTAAAACAAATCAATGCTTTATTTTCAAATGCGTAATGACAAGCTCTCCAAAAAGTTACAATTTTGAGACTACTTCAAAATATGTATACTTCTGAAATTATGTTAAAAGAAAATTATCATTCATTTTTCTTGCTTGGACCACAATCTTACTTTTATTGATTTTTTCTGTTTGTGATGCAACTTTTTGGAGGACTATGTATATTTACCTAAATTTCTTCCTATAACAGTAAAGAAACAATGAGAGTCAAATATAAGCAGTCCACACTGCAGAAACAGGATTGACCTTTCTGTACAAAAGATACCTTGCTGAAGCTCTAACTGTATTTAAAATAGTTTAAAATCTGTAAGCACACAATATGCTCTATACATAGATATGGTACACTCTCCTCCTCCTCCAAGTGTTTTATCAAACCTTAAAGTTTTGTTTCCATAACATCCAAGATCTCCAGTGCCAAGGTCATCAGCCATGATTAAAATAAAGTTAGGATTTGAAGTTCTGTAACTTTTGGCATTCTTTGTGGCATAGTGATAAAATAGTAGAAGTACAAGGATCCTCATCTTCCTCCTAGTGGTGGTGAACAAGTTGTAAATATTAAGGATAAAGACCACTGTTTGTCTTCACAAGGGTTACTCTAATTTAGCACCATCATATCCCCAGTTATTATAGTAAGAACAAAAAGTGAAGAAAGCAATTATTATGGCTTTTAAGTTGACATACTGTCAAGGTAGAAAATCTGACCTTTTTCTTAAGTACGTACTTTCATAGATGCCGACTCCGTGGGTGCTCCGGGGCTGGAGCACCCACTAGAAAAATTGGTGGGTGCTCTACACCCACCGGCAGCTCCCCGCCCCAGCTCACCTCTGCCTCCACTCCGCCTCCTCCCCGAGCGCACCGCTTTTTCCCCCTAGCGCCCAGCGCTTCCCGCCGTGAAACAGCTGTTTCGCGGTGGTAAGCGCTGGGAGGGAGTGGGGAGGGAGAACTTGGCATGCTCGGGGAAGAGGGATAGCTCAGTGGTTTGAGCATTGGCCTGCTAAACCCAGGGTTGTGCGTTCAATCCTTGAGGGGGCCACTTAGGGATCTGGGGCAAAATCAGTACTTGGCCCTGCTAGTGAAGGCAGGGGGCTGGACTTGATGACCTTTCAAGGTCCCTTCCAGTTCTAGGAGATAGGATATCTCCATTAATTTATAATTTAATTTATTTTAATTTAAGAGGTGGGGCTGGGGCGGGGATTTGGGGAAGGGGTCCAATAGGGGCAGGGAGGGGGCGGAGTTGGGGCAGGGACTTTGGGGAAGGGGTTGGAATGGGGACGGGGCAGGGGCAGGGCAGGGATGGAGTCGGGGCGCGGGGCACGAGCACCCACCGGCGCCGGGAAAAGTTGGCGCCTATGCATACTTTATGATGTGTGTCAGGTGTTGGCCCCTCCTTCTCTAACACAAATCCATCAGTAGTATATTAAAATTAAAAAGAAATCTGTGTGCTAGTATTCTAACATATAAAGATAATCCTACAGCAATAAACCAGCATGTACATATAATGAGAAGAAAGGTTTCTTAAATTTTAATGATTATTTGAAAACAAAGAAAAGAACATTTAGGAACAGATCTTCAGCTGCTGATTGACAGGAGAAACTTTCAGAGATTTCAGTATCTGAAGTAAACAAATTTCATAGCAAAATACTATCAACACAAAAAATATTTCCATCAAGGAATAAGTATTGTTGTGGTAAAGGTGGTGAAGAGATGCATTAAGGAATTATTGAAATGAATGTCTAAGAAGAAACTCTCCATAAATGGTTTAAACATAAAGGGTCTTAATAAAATAACGTCAAAATATTTGACATGAGATCACAATGAACTATCAACAATACTACAGCCACCTCCAGCCTAACAGGAATAAGAATAGGAAAATGGTATTTTTCCTATTTCCTGGTGTAGCAGGGTGAACACCCGCTCCGGCCCTGAAGGGGTTGGAAAAGCCCTGCAGAGGAATTCTGGGTCGAGCCCCCAATGCCTGCTGGGGAAAAAAATGTGTCGAGGGTGGTTTTGGGTAACTGTCGTCATTCAACCGTCACTCTCGCCCTCCCTCCGTGAAAGCGCCGGCGGGGAATCAGTTCGTGCACTTTTCTGGTGAGTGACAGCGCGGACGCCACAGCACTGCGAGCATGGAGCCCGCTGTGACCATCGCTGCAGTTATAGCCGTTGTCAACACCTCGCACCTTATCATCCACCTTTTTCAGAGGCAGATGCTGAGAAATCGGGCGAGGAGGCTACAGCAGCGCGGTGAGGACATTAAGTCTGAGAGTGGCACAGACCTCTCGCAAAGCACGGGACCCCGCGCCGTGGATATCATGGTGGCAATGGGTCATATTGATGCTGTGGAATGGCGATTCTGGGCCCGGGAAACAAGCATGGACTGGTGGGACCGCATAGTGCTGCAGGTCTGGGATGAATCACAGTGGCTGCGAAACTTTCGCATGCGTAAGGGAACTTTCCTTGAACTTTGTGAGTTGCTGTCCCCTGCCCTGAAGTGCAAGGACACCCGGATGCGTGCAGCCCTGACTGTCCAGAAGCGAGTGGCCATAGCCCTCTGGAAGCTTGCAATGCCAGACAGCTACTGGTCAGTCGCGAACCACTTTGGCGTGGGCAAATCTACCGTGGGGGTTGCTGTGATGCAAGTAGCCAACGCAATCGTTGAGCTACTGCTCTCAAAGGTAGTGACCCTGGGAAACGTGCAGGTCATCATAGATGGCTTCGCCGCGATGGGATTCCCAAACTGCGGTGGGGCTATAGATGGAACTCACATCCCTATCCTGGGACCGGACCACCAGGCCAGCCAGTACATTAACCGAAAGGGCTACTTTTCAATGGTGCTGCAAGCACTGGTGGACCATAGGGGACGTTTTACCAACATCAACGTCGGATGGCCGGGCAAGGTTCATGACGCTCATGTTTTCAGGAACTCTGGTCTGTTTAGATGGCTGCAGGAAGGTATTTACTTCCCGGACCACAAAATAACTCTTGGGGATGTGGAGATGCCTATAGTGATCCTCGGGGACCCAGACTACCCGCTAATGCCCTGGCTCATGAAGCCCTATACAGGCGCCCTGGACAGTGAAAAAGAACTCTTCAACTACCGTCTGGGCAAGTGCAGAATGGTGGTGGAGTGTGCTTTTGGACGTCTCAAGGGGAGATGGAGAAGCTTACTGACTCGCTCTGATCTCAGTGAAACCAATATCCCCATTGTTGTTGCAGCTTGCTGTGTGCTCCACAATCTCTGTGAGAGCAAGGGGGAGACGTTTATGGCGGGGTGGGAGGTTGAGGCACATCGCCTGGCTGCTGATTACGCCCAGCCAGACAGCCGGGCGATTAAAAGAGCCCAGCGGGACGCGCTGTGCATCCGGGAGGCTTTGAAAGCTAGGTTCCACAGTGAGCAGGGTAACCTGTGACTATTAAGTTTGTTTAAAGAGAAGCTGAACCTGCCCCTGTTTCTTTACCCAGTTAATGTTGACTATCCTCTCCAGTTACATACCCCCTTCACCCCGTTTCCCCCCTTCCAACACACGTTTAAAAATAAAATAAATGGAACTTCGTTCATTAACACCGTTTTCTTTATTAAGGGTTTCATGGTAAAGGGTTGAAACTGGGACGCAGACTGTGGTGGGGAGTGGGTGTAGTGATGGAAAGGACGCTTCTAAACTCGAGGAATGACAGGCTCCTGCTCCTAGAGCGGTCTGCAGTGGTGGACTGGTTGTTTCAACGGAGCCTGCCACCCCTCCTTTTCGGGACTCTGTGGGGGGGGGCTATGTGACTTTGTGGCGGGGGAGGACGGTTACAGATCCCCTGCTGCGTGGCTCTGTCATCCAGGCTAAGGACCGCTGCATAAGATCTGTAACCGCCCTCCCCCGCCACAAACTCACATAGCCCCCACACACAGAACATGAAAACCACCTCCCAGACTGACCAGGGTGCCTAGTGACTGCAATGTGTGTGTGACCTGCTGCTGAACCTGCCCCCGTGTCTGTATCCTGGTAAAGGTGACTGTCCTCTCCAATTCCCAACCCCCTTTCCCCCTTCAAACACACTCTCCTCTAAAAGAACCTGACGGAAACAGTAATTAAAAGAAACATATTTTTTATTAACAACTGCACAGGTAGGGGATGACACTGGGACGGGGGCTTGGGTGAGGTGCTTTTGGAGTGAAGGAATGGACTTATCAAAACTTTGGGAATGAGAGCCGTCTGGTACTTGAGCAGTCTGCAGGGGTAGAGTGACTGTTTTCACGGCCCCTGCCGCCCCTCCTTCTTGGGACTTTGGGTGAGGGGGGGATGGGACTTTGTGGCGGGGGAGGGCGGTTAGAGATAGACTGCAGCGGGGCTCTGTCCTCCTGCCGCCGGTCCTGCAGAACATCTACAAGGCGCCCGAGCGTGTCCGTTTGCTCCCTCATTAGTCCAAGCAGCGTTTAAGTCGCCTGCTGGTCTTCCTGCTGCCACCTGTCCTCCCGTTCGCTGTGTGATTGCTGGTATTGCGACATGTTCTCCCTCCACTGGGTCTGGTGTGCCGCCTCGGCTCGGGAGCAGCCCATAAGTTCGGAGAACATCTCGTCCCGTGTCCTTCTCTTTTGGCGCCTAATCTGCGCCAGCCTCTGGGAGGGGAATGCCGGGGTAGGTCGGGAGACACTCGCAGCTGTGGGATGGGAAAAAGGGAGTGAATTCCTCACAAAGATACATTTTTGTGAACAATGAACATAGTCTTTCTCTGTGAACAAGACCATGCACAGCACCTATCACATGCGCACTCAGGACAAGGTCGAATTTTCGGCCTTCCCATTCAGTGCCTGGAGTCTTGGAGTACAGATCACACAAGCGGGGCAGGACAGCAGAATTCGGGTAGCAGGCGAACATGGTAAGCCGTAGACTTTTGGCTGCTGAAAGCTTAATTTATAGCAGTGCCCTCCTTTCGCGTTCAAAGCAATGCCCCTAGCATTGGCCAGTTCCTGCTGCCAGCAATCCGGCCAGCATGAACTCTGCCCCTGTCCCACCCCCCTCGCGGCTGTCCCCGGGAAAGATCCCTGTATGCTGCCCCTGTCCCGCCTCCACCGCGTGGCTGTAAACCGCCGGTTACAGTTATGTAAAGGAACAGGCAATCAGTCCCAATACTAACATTCCCCTAATTTAAAGCAGGTCACCATGAGTGATATCACTCTGATGGGGATTTCGGACACTGAGAAAGACCACATGCTGCGTGAATGCCACCAAAAACCAGGGCCGTATGCGGCCATGCTGTGCGAGGCACTGATCCCAGAGTACTTGCTGCTAGCCTGGCGTGGAAAACTTTCCTACCATGGAGGACGCAATAAGGCCGCTCTCCCCAGGAACCTGATGCAAAGGCTTTCAAATTACCTCCAGGAGAGCTTCGTGAAGATGTCTCAGGAGGATTTCAGCTCTATCCCCGGACATATTGACCTAATTTTCCAGTAGCTGCACTGGCAAGGACTAAAAAGTAGAGCGCCTAGGGCAAACTAATAATGAAAAACCCATTGTTAATATTCCATTCCTGTTCT